AATATAAAATTATTCATTATAGTACAACTCTCTCAATCCAGTCTGCAGAATTGACACCTGGGGGAAAACAGGGAGGGGGAATTGTGGGGCTTTGCAGGATGAAACAGATTCATTTGCAAATCTTGTTTGGTTTTTTTTTCAGCTTGCATGGCTAAAAATTACAGAGAAAACCACCTGCAGCTGGGACAATACAGGCTTTAATACCCACGTGCTTATCAGGACTGCATTCACCTTGGCAGAACTCCTGTAGATGGGGCAAAACAAACAGCCACGGAGAGCTCGGATTGTCTGCGCAGACATGAGCTCCACTGCTCGCTGGTTTACCTGAACTGCTGCTAACTGACCTGTGCGTTAAAGGCTTGGCTCTGCTGCTGATCGGGCAGCGAATCCTGCATTCATTTCTGCCACTGCAACATGATCTGCTAATATTAGCGAAAACAAGAACAAAAAGATAATGCAGCCAGCCCTGTGATTTGAATCCAGCCGATAGTGTGAGTTGCATTCCAAGATACAGCCCTGGAAATACAACGTTTAGCATAGTCTGTGTTGCAAATTTCTGTAGCGTTACCCATTTTTGTGACACTCGGAAAATTCTATGGGATAGGAGGGGGTCTGAGTAACTCTAGACACCAGTAAGAAGCTAGAGAAGCTTTTAACCCCTGGATATAAATCTCAGTCAGGCCTTGTTCTGTAATGTCAGTCATTACCTTCTGTAGCTGTTCAGGGGTCTCTGTGAAGTGATTTGATGAGCTCAGAGCGAGAACTTCCTAACTGACGTATCTGTACTGCCCTTGTGGTGGTCCTTCTGCCTTGCTCGTGTTCTCAGCGGCTGCACTGCCCTTTCTGCTCCTACACAACAGCCATGGGAGAGAGGATTCAAAAGTTTCTTGGGATCTTCCTTATGCTGCTACCATTGCCATCCCCATTTTGTAAGCAAGTAAGGGACTATGGGGTGCAAAACCATCAACCTAAACTGCTCCCCATTTATTCCAAAATGTTGGGCACGAAGGGGAAATTCAGCCAAGCCAGAAATTCACACTGATCCTTTGTTGAGAGTTTTTTTTGTTGATGACTTTGAACCCAGCGACAGCCTGGGTCTGCAACCGTACCAGTCGATCCTGCATTTTGTGACCTGCGTGGGGTACGAGGTGGCATCTGACTGTCTGGGAAAATTTGGAGTAGGAGGCAAACTCCTTCAGTTAGAGCTAGCTGGGATGAGACAAATGAACAATAAAAAGTTTTTTGGTCCGCCCACTGTGGGAGGACAAGCATCTGATTAGGTAAAATCTGAATTCAAGGGGAACCGTCTCACCAGCTCCAGGAAGAGACAGGTCACAATCCTGCGCCTGCCCTCGCTGTACCCAGCACTCACCTATCCTGACCAGGATCGTGATGCATTGACGGGCCCCAGGAAGAAACACTTCATGTAGTGAAGAAGGTCTCAGTGCGTCTGGAAGTCAGAGGAAAAACATTTTGGAAGAAAGGGCAGATATTGAACAAGAATGTACTATCTGGCCACTACTTCTGCCAGAGTGCTTTAAAGCCGTTGTTCTCCATTGATTTTAAAACTACACATACATTTTTCATGTTATTGTAGCATCAAATAATCAGTCCTAAAAATAAAAGAAATTGTACCACTTCAAACTGTAGTACATAGAAATCACAAAAACTACATTCACATTATGTTAAAAAAGTTCCCTTAAACCCACTAAAGGAAGAAGATCGTGCCAGGTACGTCCTGCAACCCACACTCTGGCACACAGCACTTACAATAAATTAAAGGATGATTTACAGCCATAAAAAGACCAGCACAGAAGCCAGGGTGAGTGACGGCTTTTGGGTCATTCTCTTAATTTCCGATACTTAGAATCTGTTTCAAACTGCCCTATACTTCTGATACCTTGGACCACCTCTTTACAGTGCAGAAATTTGTTATTCCCAACGTACAGGTGGAGAAACTGAGGCATTTGCTGGGCGCAGGATTGGACTCTGGAAATTTCTGCCTCAGTGCTAAGCTGAGGTCAAGCCCTCCTTTTGTGGGTTGAAGTGAAACTGTTAACAAGACAGTTTTCAAGATAGTTTCATTTCTTTTGCTTGTTACTGTAATATATTACAAAGAAAACGTTGGAACAAGGTCTTCTACTGACATGCTTCTAGGGTCAGAGTTTGCCTTTGATTTAGAGAACCCCGCAGACAGATCCATTAAAATCCAGCTGGTTACTCAGAGCCCATAACACAGAAACAACTCGGGCAAACCGAGCCAAATAACGTTACCGGTCCTAATCACACGCAGTCCCATTTACTGTCACCCTGTGGTAGATGAGAGCAGAATTTGGCCTTCGGTACAGAACGGCTCTCAGAAGTCAGTGCCGGCATATGCAGACCTGCCCGGGCATTCACCGCGCAGCCCCGCCGGAGCTGCGCCGATGTGCACCTCGAACGTGGATTAGCTGCAGTAACCGCTTGTGCAGTACGGGTCCATAACGCAGAATGCACAGTGCAAAGCCTTTGGGTAAAGCTGGAAACTGTGCATATAAAACAGTTGCTTTTTATGTCTTGTGTATTGGTTTTGTGGGTAAACAGCCTGTAAAATTGCATTTTTTAAATATAAATGTTTTCTTTAGTTACAGCAACACATAAAAGCGCTGGGAACTAGCAGACATAGCTCCTCCCAGTCTTGGAATTCAGAGATGAGCAAATGGATTTGTAATACCTTCTGCCCCCAAGCCAACAACCGAAAATTGCTTCATTTTGCTTCCCACTTTTCAGCTAGGAGGAAATGCTTATGGCCAGGCTACGCATCTCGCGGAACAGGGGCCGCGTTGTGGCAGAAGCACTGACAGAACCTTACAGACAGCGACACCACTAGCAAATATTGGTACCAGTTGAACGCATGGGTAACAACGTCCCACTGTGCTTGCAGGTGGATGAAGGTGTGCTTGTGCACTCTGCAGATGCAGACCCGATCAAAATCCATCTGAAATCAATAGGAAAGACATCCTTTGACTTCGGTGGACTTTGGATCAGGGCTGTAACAGGGTTGTATTTGAGCCCGAAGTGCTGTTTGTATTTTCTGTTCTTAAGTTTTTAGTTATCTTTACTCTTCTGGAGAAGAGTATCTCCAAAACCGAGGTGTATCCCCCAGGGTGTACACAGAAGAAACGAGGCAGCCCCTCCTTTGCAAAACTCAGTCTGCATTCGAAACTGTTAGAAACAATGTACAGAGGCAGAGAGAGAATTAAAATACAAAACAAGCAGCACTTCAGTGGATTCGTGTGATGGGAAAGGGACACTGTAAAAATGACATGCCAAAGTTGAATGCATTAGGTCTCTGCCTCTCCTCTGGTGATTTCAAGGCCATATTTGATCTGCAGTTAACGTGGCCTTTGAAAATCAAATCATACTCCATTGGGTTCCTAGTTTACCCTCAACAATGGCTGGTTCACGTCTTACAGGCTGAGTAATAACGGGGTGAGACATGAAACAGGCAAAAACTGCTTCATTTCCATGCTTCCAGCCAAACAAAGAAGTGCTTGCAACAGCAAGAAAATAAGCCATACTTTAATTTGGTGAGTGGGAAGAGGAATTAGAGAAGTCATTGTTGTTCTATGACTCAAAAGTCAGTAAGCAGAACCTGGTTAGACTGTCACCACACTGGAGGATTAAACTCACATGAGTCCCTAAAAACCAGCATTGAAAGAGAGAGTTCTGCTTTGAAAGTGGTCTGAGACTAAAAAAAACATTATCCATGATTCCCCTTTCCAGTTTTATGAACACAGCTTGTTCATTTAAAGTAAGAGCTGCAGATCAGGCACTCTGCCAAAAGACAATGTGCACTGTCTCATAATTAATTCAGACCTATAGTCAGAAATTTTCACAGCTCTGGAAGAGAGCCCCATCCTGTTCCCACTTAAATCAGTTCTAGTGACTTCACTGGAAGCAGGCTGACGCCCATTATCTCTCGATAAAAGCAAGTAAAAATAACTGAAAAAATACAGATATGGGTACGTCTGTACACTTGTTCTAGTTCAGTATTCCATACAGCAACAAACAAAACAAAATCACCCCCTCATCAAGTTCCCGTTAATGACTGATTATTTGCAGGGTCTTCCCTGGCACTCGTCGTGCAGATTTATGAGGGAGTATTGCTATTTAAATTCTTCTTCCTTTTTTTAGTATGCAGGATAGGGGTTTTCACGTGCTGTTAACACATAATACTGATGACGGCGTGAGCGGCAGTTGTGTAGGGTGACAGGATGGCATGTGAGTGCATGTTTGAGCCTATGTGGAATTTGGTCGGCTTTTAACTCATTTTGGGACCTGCCTGTGAAACAAATCTGGGAGCTTTGTGCATGAATTCCCTATGATTTTTGTGATGAAGTTGCGTACGTGTATGTGATACCAGTGCAATGTATCAAAACCACTGTGCTAAGAACATATCCTAGGCCATAGTCAATTTGCTTTAATGTTTCTCATCCTCTGAGGTTTTTCCTTCTTCTTTTTTTTTTTGTGGTGCTGTCCTTTCTGGCAGTGGCCGCCAGCTGAAATGAAGTGACCGCCCTTGTGCTCAGATCACCGCCTGCCAGGATGGCACATCCTCAACTTAGTCACTGTTATCATTTACTTACAAGCAGCGCAATTCCCATCCCACCTCCAAAAACACCCACAAAAGAAAACCTCCGTTTCCTTGGTTTTTAATTATGTATCTTTATATCGTTATGCTCAGGGGGTAAACATTTAAAAAATCCTACTTCTGCCATTTGTGTTTGAATTGTGAGGATAAGAAACATTCTCTTGTATTTGGCCTTAAGAGTGGGTAACTGCATTTGTGCATTTTTTACCTCTGCATTATAATGTTGTCCCTTTTTTTGTTTTTATGTATTTATTTTTTTTTAAGAATCTCATTGGTCTTGTAAGAAACAGTAAAAAGACCCTATGCTTAAGGAAGCAATCTAGCTTCTGTTTTACAGACTTGCTTTTAAATAAAATATTTTTTGTTGTTTTTGTAATTTTACTTCCATGATCTTTTATATGGAAACCCTAGAATATCATTAATATAAAAGTCTGCCTAGGCTACCACTTCTCTATAATATGGCTCATGTAGTCCTCAGTGGGCAAGCGTCCTTGCTCTTCGGTCTCTTCCTTGGGAAGTGCTTCATTGGACCGGTGAAGAAGCCTCTCTTCCCGATTCTTTATCCTCTGCTCCATCCTCTCTAGCTGCCGTTTGTACTGGTAGCGCTGTTGGAAGAGGTCCTTTGCATAGTCATAGAGCTGCATGTCCAAGTCATTGAGCTCCTCAATCCTCCGGATGGTGTCGTTATCCACCTCCACCCCTCCTGCCCTGGTACTGTTGTACTGCATAAAGGGCCGGATGAATTTCAGATTAAAAGTTCTCTCAAACAGGTACTGAGTCTTTCTCTGGAACTCTGTCAGGCCGAAGAAGGCCATGTCTTTGAGGTTCTTTTTTGCACTCTCCAGCAGGATCTGTGCTCGCTTGTTCTCTGGGATGAAAGACATGTTGTAGCAGCCAACTAAGCTCAAGTCAGCCAACATCCTCACTTGGCGGTTGTTGGCCAAATTATACGGGCAATCCATGAACTCCTGCAGCGTGCAGCCTGACCAGTCTGTGCCTTCATAGCACGACGGCAGCTCTTCAGGAGTTGGTGTCCTGCCATCACACATGTGCAAGGAGGTCTTCCACGTAGCTCCTCGTTGGACGTGACGCCATTCGCTGAGGTAACGAGATACAGGGTCTCTCAGCAGCGTGATGTAATAAAATTTTCTACAAGAAGAAGAGAAAATAAAATAAATATTCTGCTAGTAACAAGGAAGATGCTTGGCAAGCTGAGATCTAGTGTAGATATCAAAAAGACAAGAGTAAATCAACATCACAGCATCCATTCCACTGTATTCTTGGATTATTCTTGCAATATCTCATGTGAAGTAGTTTGTGCAAGGTTAGACCCATGTTTCTCTTTCTCATTGCCCACCATTTTAGTCTTGCCAAGTAGTAACGCTTTCACCGGGACATCCAGCAACAGACTGCAATCTCGGAACAAATCATCAGGATTCAACTGATCTAATAACTTCAGAGAGCAACTGTGACTTTAGGGACTGCCTGGCCTCTCACACGACCACGCGCCCTTGGAATGAGCCAGGACTTGCTCTGCAGGGCAGCCCAGCCATTGCTCTGTTTATGAGCTGGGCCTATCATTTTCACTTCGTGCAGATGCTGACCAGGACACCTACTACTTGATTGGTCTGGCTGCCTAGCTGAAATTTGGGAGTCTGCAACGAGTAGCAGGATAACACCACAGGAATGTAAGTGAAGAATAATGGGAAATCAGGAATGTAATACGCTTTGCAGAAATAGAAGGCCTGAGTTGACAACCAGCAATAGTAGCAATGATTTATTCTCATTTCAGCTAATCTGCTATGAATTCGAACAGACTGAAGACATACTTTTGATACGGGAGACTAAAAAAGGGTGAAAACCCAAGACAATCAGGAGGAACACACATAGTGACGGGAGCATTCTTGCTGTTCCCAGTATAATGAAGTCCCCAACAATACAAGTTGTCCCTCGAACTGAAAACATGACAGCTGTCTTGTACAGAGAAACCCTCCAGCTTCAGCCCCCCTTAAGCCTGGATAAAGTTCTGGGATTGATAGCGATGGCAGCCTGTAATGGCCCTCTCCAGACAGAGGGAAAAGGGCCTATTTTTCTCTAGCTTCCAGTAGCTTGGGACTGTGGTGTCTCCAAGTGTTTCTAGAACAAGGGAATACCTTCTCTAAGTTGCTAAAGCTGGCAGGGAATTAAATCCACATGTGCTCCCAGCGCAAATGGGAGCACCTGGCTTTGGCAGGGCAACGCACGCATGCTATTGGAAATACTTCATATAGGGGTGGTGGTGGTGGATTCATTTTCCCACCAGAAATGCATCCTTGGAATGCTGCTAGGGCTTACTGCCCTGCCAGCACGGCTTGGGAGAGCTGAATGTGATAGCCATTATGAGGGCATTGCACGGGTTTTCAAGAAGAAAAAAAAAGTCAAAAAATTCTGCTTTGGCTAATATTAACACTCCCATATTTTCCTAGCATCTTCAATATTACTCTTCCTAGCAGTAACCCAAATTACTGCAGTAAGAGTAATTTAAGAAAATACATCAAAGACATTGCCCAGGAAGTCTGATTTTAAGGAATGGTTGCTTTCTCAATTTATTACTAACTTGCTGAAGGGTTGTTCCAAAGTGGTAAATTTTGGTCTTTTCAACAATGGCAACGGGTGTCCACTCAGGCTTCAACTCCTCTCCTGGCTTCTGCCTTCAGAACTAGGGCTGGTAAAAACATTTACTATTTTTGGAAACTTCTCCATCTCTTCATAGCAGGGGTATCACGCTGTCCAGTAATACTGTCTAGTACTGTCTGTGTACAGGGAGAGGAGAGAAAGAAGGGGAGCAGCGTGCATTAAGAGAAACACTTCCCTTAAACTTACCTCTTTTTCCTTCATTTACATTGCAGGCTGTAACGATTCAGCTACCCAGACTGAGATGCAGCTATGATTTATATAGACAGTGCTAAGAAACCTCTAACAGATGGGGATAAAATATGACAGTGGAAGGAAAAGGAAAGCAATGATGAATACCAGATGTTCAAGTGACAGACATTGATGCTAAACACTACCAGCATTTTTTGACTTGTGAACCGTAGTGGACTTTTTTATTTACACCAGTGTATTCCAAAGGTTGCATTTTTTCCTGAAGCAGGTTGAAGCCAATTATTATTACGTGGCTTACAGAAGCAACTAGGAGTTTCACCTAAGATCAGGACTCATTTATGAGGTATCCAAAGACAGAGGAGGAGCTGATTCCTGTCCAAACCTGCAGTCTATACAAGTATGGATTGGAAAAAAGGAAGAATTAGTATCTGCATTTTGTAGACAGGGGAACCACAAATATTAAAAGATGTGCATAAAGTCAAATGGGTGTCTGTGGCAGAGCTGGCATGAAGATGATTCCTGTAAGTCTGAGTCCAGTTTGTCCTCTCTCTCTCTGTTTAAATTTTGGGAGTCTGTTAGTAAATCAGATTAATAAAATCATGCAAAGCTTCTGGGTCCATTGAAACAGAAACAGCTTCAACAGGACATGGATTGAAAAAAAGGTTAAGAAGCAACTATCTCTTTCTTCAAACTTGCACTATAAGAACTATTATCTTAGTTGCGGCGATACACTGGTAAATACCTTACATGAGCAATCTCTCTCTAAGATTCATCTAAGTTAGTTAATAGAAAGCGTAGGAAAATAGATTTTTTTTTTTTTAAACTATACTGAATTTGATGTGCCCCTTTCCAGGTCTGTCACATAGAAAAGTGCTTGAAGGAGGCGAGCTTGCCTCCTAACACAGGAATAAGACGTATCTTTGGAAACTGGAATACAGGCAATGGAAGCAGGCCCCTGGAGGTACTTTAGGAAGCTGCCCCAATGGGGCATAAAAAACCCAAAATAAAACAGAGACTTCAATGCAGAAGAATAGTTTAAACCACTTAAGTTAAGATGCACCACTGACATACCAAAAGTTATGCTCCCAAACCTGGAGCTTCCAAAGCTTTCTGGAAGGATACTAGTTGCAGAGGTGCAGAATTGCCCAGCTCTCAGGAAAGTGAAGAGCACACCTTTAGGAAGACTGGGGCCTCAGGAACCAGAGAGGTGAGCCACTTTGATATTAGATGAATGACCATGGAAGTATTCACCCGAGGTACTTAAGATACTGAAGTTTCCATTCTCAGACTGTAACTTGGGGATTGTCTTTAAGTTCAGAGAAAAGTCAGATTATCTCTCTAAAGCATCATTCATTAGGAGCATCGTTATGAACATCGTGAGCCAGAAAGTCGGGGGAACTTTGCGCCAGCGTGGTTGAGAACACAGGCAATGCCGCTTGTCAGTAGTGGCTGGAAATTTATGAAGAACCACATGACTAGTAAGTTCTCTTTTGTCATCAGAGATAAAATAAACCCATAAAAAACATGCAGCTGTGAGTGCCCTTCCTTTCAGCATGGTGCCCCAGACAGCTACTTAACGTAAGTATTCCTAAAGGCTCATTTCAGAAGTGTGGTCTTCTCCTAGCCCAGATGGTTCCACTCAATACTGCCTCATAAAAAACCCAAACAGCCCCAGTTTGGTCACGCAATGCCAAGTCTCACTGGCCTTCCTGGAGTTAACAAGCTTGAGCAAGAAAAATGGACGTTCTGGTTAGTAAGAAATTTCTTTTCTTTTTCTTCCCATGTGAAGCTGGGCAGAACAGCATTACTGCTCTTGCAGGCTCCCCTTCTACTTATCCATGGGGTTGTGATCCCCAGAGGGCAAAGAAAAGCCGAAGCCAAAGTCACACCTCTGCCTTGCCTTGCATTATTGTCCCTGGCGGTCCCGATGTGAAAATCCACCTGAAGCTCCCTGAGGCATTTGCAACTTCAGCGTTGCAACTCGGATGTACATGCAAGCTGCAAAGCTTTGTCTGAGGAAAGAACCACTAGTGTATTTATTAAACAGAGCAAAATGAAATCATGGTTTTGATAAACAACTCTGTATTAGAACTGAAGTTTCAGGGAGACAAAAATCTAGTACTAGAAAGGAAGGGCAATCTTCTTGTAGTACACAAATGAATTTAGGAAACTTGAGTGTAAGTACCTCTTCTGTCAAAATTAGCCTCTGTGCCCCAGACAAATCTCTCTCTCTGCCTCTTATTTCCCGTGCGCGAAGGGCTGACAACATCTCCTTTGTCTATTTTGGCAATTCAAAACATAACATCTTTCGGAGCAGGAACCGTCTCCTTCAATGATTGTGCAAAGCCCCTGTTTCAGCGTGGATTGAGGTCAGAGGACAATAGTTAACTTGAGGCGTATTTTCATGACACGGGCGTCGGGGGCACTGGTGCCCTACGGGATTCCCACCCCGGACCTCTCCTTCCCATTCTCACACAGCAGCAACAAAGCAGCCTTAGTTTTGCCAGCAGAGTTGGGGGTTTTGGGGGTTTTTTTGGGGATTTCGTTTTGGTCAGGGCCATGCCGCAAATGCATTCACTGAGCAGATCTGGGTTAAAAATAACCCTTTCCTGCAGACATGGAGGAGCGCCTGAAGCCCCTATTTCGTAATATTCTGCCTTAATTCCTATCAGCAGGTTCCTCAGCTAATGAAGGGGAAATGAAACCCTTCTTCCTCTAAAAGACCAATTCCTTCTCTTTTGCTAATAACCAGTCAACATAATTCTGATAAAGTGACAGATTCTAAATATGATGCTATTATCTCTCTTCAGTTCATTTCCATTTATTCTTTCCTACGCTCCGATACACCCTTCTCGCTTCCCACTGCTGGTCTCTAAAATCTGCCAAGAACTGCTTATTTGACTGTGCAATCCCCTATTCTTTGCTGTGATTAAATGCTTCCCTCCCACGCAGCCAAAATATCGTATTTTTTATTTCTACAGGTTATTCACTGAGCTTTCAAGCATCCCTCACAGGAAAAGCAAAATCTATAACAAGTCCTTCTTGACTACTGTGGTGGCCTTCCATCAGACAGAGAGCGAAGTAAGGATAGCCACTTCCAATCATATGTGCTTCATCCTGCCTGCCAGGAGGGGGAAGGGGAAGGAAGCTGCATAGGTCAGCTGCAACCACATAACCCCAATCTGTCAAAGCACCACGCCCCCAGGCTACAATTTTTCTACTGCTGAAGAAAAAAAATAATAAAAAAATCTTTCTATGTCCTTGCTGAGTTGACTGAACTGAGCGGGGTGCCTGCCAGCTTGCGGGAATGAGAAACACTCTGTTTTGTTTAAAAGAAGTAGTAATGTCAAATTTGCGGCTGATTTAAGGCATCTTTGTAAGCCAAGCCCATGCATTACGCGCTCCTCAAATCATTTGTGAGGGTCCTTGTTCAATTCATACTGGCTCTCACTGTAAATGGTTTATCACTAAAACAATCGGCGAATTTGCCTCCCACCAGCGAAATGAGAACGTGCACCTACCCTGCCGTTAGTCTCCAAGGAAAGAAGAACCAGAGCAGTCAGACCCCTACTGCGATCACTTAAAGCCTCACCTTACAGAGACAACGAAAGGGATTACTAGGTACCTGGTATCTCCACTGAAAATGGATGGCGTCTCCTACAGGAGCAGTTCCAGCCATGAGTTACAGGTAAATAATAAGTAAAGGCAATTCGGGTGTCTCTGGAGGAGCTGAGAATGTGGCAGATGAAAGTTTATAAGAAATTTATATTCTTACTATAAAGTCATACTAAATGATACCTACAAATAACAGATGTATGAAAATCTGATCGACCCTTCTGCACAGAGCCCCTGAATGACCTTTGGCTACCGTGGGAAATGCGGAGGTGCAGACCACTCTCCGGCCAGCCTCAGCACTTGCTGCAGGAAGAATTGCCTCCTGCCTTATCTACCCCCGGTACACCAAACCCCTGCTTACCGCTTTTAAAGCCCAAACTTGGGAAGACTCCACATATTTCCTTTTTTTTTTTTTTTTTTTTTTTTACTCTACAGTCAGATTTCTTGCATAACAAAACACACTCTCAGTTAGAGATTGGAATTTAATATATGTACAATGATTACTTCCTTTGGTAGCAAATAGCCCTAATTTTCCTCAGTCTATTTCCTCTCATCTGGTGTTCATTTAGACTCTTCCTGCATTTCACACACAATAAACTCTTCAGCCCTTTCAAAGTCATAGAAAAAGAAAGAAAACCCCAAGCAAACAAACAAACAAACAAGTCTCTTTGGTCCCCTATATTTAAAGAAACGTTGCCACACAACCCACCAAAAGCCAAGAAGCTCAACAGCAAAGCCAATCCTCCAGTACCCAGACTGCGTAAACACCTACAGCAACGGTTTTCTCTTCCCGTCAACGAGGAGGGTGTCTTCACAGCAAGTCAGCGCTTGCTGTGGTAACTCCGTTTGTTTTGCACAGTTGGGTTTGTTTTGCCTGATGGCCTCTGCTCTTGGGACTCGGCTGTATTAAAAGATGGGAAGTTTTGAAACGTAATCACCAGCACGCAGGCTCCGCTCACCCTCCGCATCTTCGCTCAGGGACTCTTCCTCGGGTCCGATTTCGCCACGGGCCAATTGCCGACGCAGCGATGCCTGGGCCGTGCCGCTGGCAGCCCGCGGGGAGCTAACCCCGAAACCCAGCCCTCCGACAGCTCCCGGAGTTGGAGGCAGAAGAGAATACGCTCGGACTACAGACAAATTGACACGCTTTGCTTCCAGACGGAAAAATGAAACTCTCACAGGCTCTCTCGGCTGGATGCAATCCAAAGCACAGGTTTCTCCATACACAAGGGTGGCTTTCAGTCCAGCCACCCCTTCTCCTAAAGGAACAGTTGGAGGCTACACCCTGTCACAATTTGGCTGTATTTTTGAGAGTATTTAAACCAAAAGCTACTATATGAACGCCTGTCTGTGTGTGGATGCTCTAGAAACCCCTCGCCTGCTTCTCCTCATCTCGGGCATCTGCGAAGTGGAGTCTCACATGTCACACCAGCTCCAAGAAACCCCTACCAACTGATCTGCACCCCCAGCTCCTCCTAAGGCAAGGGGGGAGTAAGAACGGCCGTTCTTCCAGAAAAGCTTAAATCCAGTTTAATACAAACATCTATTCCTCCATTCCCGAGAAAGGGGTTTCAAAGCAGATTCTGGAGTCTGTGGAAGACCCTGGCCTGGCAGCCCAGCACCTGAGTGCCTGCTGGGTGCTCGGAGCTGGGGATCCTCGCTGACGTGACGTGTCTAACTCCCTCTGAAACACAGGACAGGGTGTGAGCACCAGAAAAAAGAGCACTTCTAGAGCTGGCAACATTTACATGGCTTTGGGGGCTGCAGCCTCACCTGCTGCCCTTCTGGTTCACAGTTACTGGTCAGGAGTACGCAAAAACCTCTTAGGAAAATGGAAAAACAGACCGAACTCTAATCCCAGCAGCTACAACAATACTGGCTGAGAGTATATTAGTTCTGTACCAGATTGCTGAGTGTAAATGAACCTGAGATTACTTAGGTCTGGTCTTTTGGATTTGAATAGCTGTAGAGTCAGGCTCTGTTACATATTTCTCTCTTTTAGCAGGAATTAAAGTGTGTTATATCCATTATATATACGCTTAAAAATACCAGTACTATTTAACAGTGAGTTAAAAATATAATTTAACTGTGAGTAGGCATGCATGAAAAGCCACACCTCTCTTTTTTCCCTAGTATATTTCATAAAACGTGGAGGATTTTGAGCACTTCACAGTCCTGGCTGATGCAGCCTTTCAGCGTACCATGAACGGTCATGCTGCAGTGCCAGCAAGGGAGCGTGGAGCTCCTGCGCGTGGGTACCTGTGGGTACCAAACACGACACATCTTTCTCTCAAAGGCAGTAGAAAAGATAACAGAAGCTGACAGTGAAGGAGGAGACAGAAGAGCAATCAGCAGCTCAGGCATTTCACAAGAGGAACAACTTTAAACAAAAGCTCCAGGTTTGGTGTTCGCAAGACACGCACGCGCTCTGAGTCGCGGCTTTAAAAACACGGGACAGAGTCCAACACAATTGCAAGGGCCTTCTGCAGCCTGGTGGTGAAGAAACCTGCAGACATGCAACCAAGGAAAAGATCAATCTGTGTGCTCGATCCGCACATCCTGCAGCGATCCAGCCTTGATTTTGGAATCTGACGGGAGTGCTAGCGCTGTGTGTCTGCACATGCCTCTGCACACACGGTGGCTGCAGCGCAGTAACAGCTCAGTGTGAGATGTCTCTATTTAAAGTTGACCTACAAAGAAAGGTAGGTCTACAAAGCAATAGTTAGAATACTATTACGTATATATTTCTTTTACCTAGATACTCCTCCTGAATTATATTGGCAAAGGCTGAAGAGCTGGAGTGGAGGTACAAAGGATTTAAGTCAGCCCCAAGGGCCGATGGGTGAAACTGTGGTTCGTTAGAAAGCTGGGAGGACACACGTAGCCTTGATACCCACCTTGGGAGTGGCAGTATGATACAGACTATTCCATACTGATGAGATATATATGGTAATAAGGGTGCATTTTATGTCTGGAGTCAAATGCAGCATCAGGATAGGTATTAATTCCTCTGAAACCATCAGAAACAGACACCTTCAGGATGATTATCTCCATAAATGAAATGAGGGTACGCTTTTACCTTAGGTCTCAGTGTTGTGCAGTACTCATACTTGCTGTGTTCATAATACACTGTTACACACTCAGCCCCAGTTCAGATTTGGTAGCAATATACTACTAATAGGCTTTTACCCAGGAAACAAGTATGGTCCTATCACCCTCGTGTCTCATCACTGGTTTATAGCCAATTAGCAGAATAGACACAGACTATGAGTTTTAACAACATCTCTGCTTTTCAAGAAAACCGAGCTGCTGTGTTAGCACAAGAATTTCCTGTTGCACTGTCTCTTGCAAACAACTTAATCTAAAAAAAGATACATGACATGTTATGAACCTTAGGAGTGAACCGCCAGTTCATTTTTCAAAATGACAGACGTGATGAAAATTGGCCAAAGGCTTGGAAAAAAAAAGTGGGGGTCAGGGTGAGGGTAGCAGATGGGGGCGGAGAGGAAGGCATTCCAGAGCCCTCTGGAGCCTTGGACTCCTCTAGGACCCATTAAAAGCTTATGTTACTTGCACCGTTTATAAACAAGTGCTTTCTTTTGCCATCATAACCTTCCTCATATCAAGCGCTTAGGAAGTGTTGACTGCTGTCTTCTACTGAAGCAAGGCACCAAAAATGACGGCAAGTTACAAATCAAATACCTTTGATTTATTACCTTTCCCATGTTTCGTGAGGTTTGTTGTGATTCCTAAGTGACCTTAGTAAACCAACTAATCAATAGCACATCTGAATGCTGACAGACTGCAGTGGAACGTTTCACTGCCAGAAGGATTACATCAAAGCTGGCAGAGGACAGACGGTACAACTGTGGACTGCAACCCATGCCTATTCTTTGCATTCTTTTGCTTTCATTACTGCCCCTGCTGTCATCAAGGTAAGAAATTGCAGGATGAAAACCCACTGCCATTCTCCAAAAGAAAAGTTTTCAATCCTTTCACTTACTGACTCTATCACAGAGACTTTCCTTTTATTGATTTTAGCATTACACAAAATACAGACTTTAGTAACACATTACAGCCATATAGACGATAAAATATCTGCTAGAAGGGTACTGTACCCACTAATTTTTTTAGTTTCTCCCTGTATGTTAGACATACTAGAATCAAGCAAGAAACAAATCAACCCCTGAAAGAAGAGTAATGAGACATCTGCAGTGAGACACTAAACTTTTCATCTTTGTGTCAGAGACCAATTTGCACTGGATGGGTAGTGTAAAATAGCAGATTGCACCCTATGAGCAGATAGTTTAAGCTGAAAACATTTGGGGTCTCATTCTAGGTCCAGGGGGTAAGCGCTGTCCCCTAATAAACTGCCAGTGCAGGCTGCCATCTTATGGGGGAGGCAGAACTTTAAGTCTTCCCCCACGTCATCCGGACAGAGATGCCTGGTACCGCACGGAAACCTGCAGGGCTTCGTACTGTCTTTGCCCTGGGAAGAGAGAGGATGCCAGGGATTCGGCCTCCCCAGGTGTCAAGATGGATACAATGAATAAAACAAGTGCATAGTTTACCTAATATAACAGGATTTCTGCATTTGATTCCTGCGCACTTCAGGACGCAGAAGACAGAACGATCGGGATATTGCCACACAGAAAAAAGAAAACCAGCAGCAAGCTGAAATACTGCGAAGATAAAGCAGAAGTAATATGCAATATGCAAAGGTGTTTTATCTGAATCAGCTGCAAACAAAGCAGATGGGCGGGAGTTTGCGTTCTCTTTTGAACTGTAAGCCCGCTTGTGAATCACAGGAGCTCCACTGGCAGTGAGACTCAAGAAAGATTCAAGAAAAGTGTAACAGCATGATAGACAGGAAGTATGTCTCCCTGAAGAAGATTAAATTATAAAGAAACCATACAGGAAGATTAAGGGAGCAAGAGTAGTCAGAGGAGCAGATATTGATCGCTTACGCAGGACAATTGAATTCCTCAGCAACTGCCTGCCTCAGCCGAAAGGGATGCAATATTGTGTCAGGCAGCTGCAGCTGCAACACAGACACCCCGAGTTGCTCGTGGATCAATCTTGTTCCAATCAAAAATTGATGGATGGCTACTTTTATTGATTGGAGTGGGAAGACTCGGGAAACAGAATTGAGATGCACAGAATTTTGAAACTAGATTGACATGTCGTGGACACAGAAGTAAACATTACAACTTTCAACCAGCCAGGGTACATCAAGAAACAAGACATCCCAAGGAAGAAAAACACAAAGAGCAGCACAGCCCATTCCTGGAAGCAGCCAGAGTGCAAGCTGTTGCAAAGGCTGGTTTCCAAAGAGCTCCTCTGCTCCTCTGCGAGCCACGGAGGGCTGCTAGTGAAAGGGAACAACTACTGCCCAGCAAAGCAAATCAACGTGAACTGCGTACTGCCACACGGCCGAGTGGCATCAGATAGGTGACTGCTCCTAATTCCATTCATCCAGTTCCTTCACAGAATCACAGAATGGTTTGGGTTGGAAGGAGCCTTAAAGCCTATCTAGTTCCAATCCCCCTGCCATGGGCAGGGACACCCTCCACCAGACCAGGTTGCCCAAAGCCCCATCCAACCTGGCCTTGAACACTGCCAGGGATGGGGCATCTACAGCTTCTCTGGGCAACCTGTTCCAGTGCCTCACCACCCTCACAGGGAAGAATTTCTTCCAAGTATCTAACCTAAATCTGCCCTCCTTCAGCTTAAGGCCATCACCCCTTGTCCTGTCACTCCCTGCCCCTGTAACCAGTCCCTCTCCAGCTTTCCTGTGGGCCCCTTTAGGTACTGGAAGGTGCTCTAAGGTCTCCCCCGGAGCCTTCTCTTCTCCAGGCTGAACAATCCCAACTCTCTCAGCCTGTCTTCATAAAATTAGTGCTGGGAGAGGTTCCCACACTGCTGCTTTTCTGGCAAACAGTCATATTAGTGGCTTACGAGTACCAAAGCTTGCTCTCCTCAATTAACTGACTCTCCCTTGCTCAGGAATACCAGATGCTGTCAAGCAACAAATAGATAATCCTCAAGAAAGCAGAGCTACTAATCAGTCACTTTTACATTTAAGATCACTTGGAGTTGCCACTGCCTTATACTGTTTTTCTAATTAATTGCACTGGAATGCACTTAAGCTAGCCCTGGATCAAAGAATCAACTGCAGAGATTGAAATAAATCCTGTCTGTGTTGCTAATGCCTTGGAAATGGATGACTTGCTAAGCGCTCAAAATCCTGAGTACCAAT